ATATATATATATATATATATATATATATATATATATATACCGGATGTAGATTCTCAGAGAGCCTCGACATGTTATTCCAAGAGTTTAAATCAAAAGAACACGTTTTTATTAATTTTGTTTTTGCTTCACATTTTCTCAGTTAAAAACTTAAAGGTTTAGCATTTCAAGCTTTGTAGAATAAATTTTGAGCTCATAGACCAAAGCAGGTTAAAGACATTCTTCTAGACAGACTGCTCCCTTTGTGCACACTTGCGTCAGTTTTCACTCTCTTGCCTTGTTAATTATCCTTTCCTATACATTCATACGGTGGCTGTGAGGTGTAAATGAACAACATTTGAAAAAACAGAATTAAATTAAGCCAAAGTGGAAGAGGCCGGAATCACATTTGAAAGAAAGAAAAAAACAGAATCACATTTGATAAACTGGAGTTACATATGAACCAACGGAATTGCATTTGAAAAAAAATAATAATAATTACATTAAACAAAACCAGAAATGGTGGGAGGGTGTATTTTTATTTATTTTTACTTTATTAACAACATAAAACAGAACACCAGAACAATGTACAATACGCAGACAACAAAGGTACAGTTAGCAGGCTAGCCTTTAGCCTGTAGAAATGGAGAGTTATGTTTTGTTCAAGCTTAAAGAAGAAGATATGACGCTGGAAAAACTCAGCAGGATCTTTAAGGTAATTAAGTTTTGTTACTGGCACGGCATTAGTAATATTGTATAGATAACCATGATAATTTAAACGATAAAACACGATGCGATCCCCCAGATTTTTCAAACTATAAATAAATAGATTTGGCCACAAAATCGACAGCATGTGCTAGTTAGTGTGTGCATTGTTGTTTTATGTTGTTAATAAAGTATAAAAATAAAATACACTAAATACAAACCCCACTACTTCCGGTTTTGTTTAATGTAATTCCGTTTTTTCAAATGTAATTCTGTTTTTTCAATATATAATTTAGTTTTTTCCAAGTGTAATTTTGTTTTTTTAAATGTTGTTCATTTACACCTCACAGCTCATTCACCCTAATGGACTGCAAGCACAGAAATTGTATGTACATTTAAACTCACAGAATTACAGATGTACATAATCTCACAACATGCTCACACTGTAATTCTACTCTTCTCTTTAAAAAATGTTGCCACACTGAAATAAAAGAAAGTATGTTGTGTTCCTTTTTTTTAATCATTGCCAAAGTTTTCATTTCTCTGAGTTACATACATTTATAACACTGCGTCATGTATTATGATGATTTTCAAAAGTGTGAATAATTTTCAAAATGTTACAAAGCTGAGTTTTTAATGCTGACTGAAAATTATTGTGCTCCCACAGGAATGTGCTTTCCAAGACATAACGGTCCATCATTGTTTGTCATCTGTTTTAAGTCAGTGTTTATAAGTTATTCCTACTATTAAATAAATCTAACTGATAAGAAACACTGACACATCTTTCTCTGGTCATTTAGGTATAAGATGTAACTTCTTACAAAAATCATGAACACAGATTTCAACAACAGCTTACACATAAATCTGATTCACGTCTAGACATTTGCATCACAGAGATACTTACATAACCGTTTTGATGGCTGTAGCTGTGTTGGTTTTATTACTATGTTGTTTTATCTTGTCAATTTCCTCTTCCCAGGTTTCGGTGGGAAATGTATTGAAATCAAAATGAATCTCGGTTGTTAATGAAAACTGGGTGATGGAAAACTGCACAACAAAGAACATCAACAAAAATAAGTTAATATTGGAATTGAAATAGGCACCCTTTACGCAGGGACCAAATCTCCTTGCTTTCAAGGGAAAAGGGGTTTTTCTATTCCCTTCATCCCTAAGATACTCTCTTGCACCATCACCTATAGCTCCATGTCCCCAGTATAACTCTCCGACCACATCAGGATGCAGCTATAAGCTATAAAAAACTGCCACAATCCCACCATGGCTATCACATCTGAGTTGTTTTCATGACTTTATCATTATCGCAGTCTATAGGCATGAAACCAGGGTGGCCAGTCTTATATCAAATTCTTGATGCCCAACCAGGTTCAAGTGAGCCCCATTTATTCATATACTGTCACTTCCACCACGCTCCACACAGAACCACTGCTACCATGACAATAAACCTGCTTAGCCTTCAGAAGCTTTGTGAATGCTCAAACCATTGTTTATAGCTCACTTTGTTTTTAATACAGGCCTGAAAACCTCACCAAGGCTCAGCAAAGACCAGCCATGGTCTGGCTGATATTTTACAATGTAGCAGGCTCATCAACCAAAAGGGGACAAGTAACATGTGAACATGTTTATGTCACCTTCAATAATTTATGTATCTTCCATTTTCATATACAGTATCTACATAATAACAAAAACATAAGCCCATGTGTGTGTGTGTGTGTGTGTGTGTGTGTGTGTGTGTGTGGGTGCCTTACCTTTGCATCTTTCCCCCTGAATCCACGAATGAGTTTTTTCACAAAATCCTTCATTATTATAAAATCCTGTGCAGATACACTGCCTGAGCCGTCCAGCAGAAATGCAATGTCAGCTTCGTCTCGACACTCTGATTAAAAGAATCAGAGTTTAACAGAGAGGTATTCGTGTCTCAGCTGTTGTCAGCAGAATTTATTTTTAAATGAGTCCATTTTTCCCTGCCTTCACAGACTGTGGTTAGGTAGACTTTTTTTCACTCATTCTTCAACCTTTATTTAGACTTTATGAATAAATTATAGCAGCTCATTCCATATTTGCAATTATCAACAAAATAGTATACGATTTGTGAGAGTAGTGCATAATTGTACTGACTCTGCATTTAAAAAAATCAAATGTTTACCTTTAGTAGAATTTGGGAAAGACTTTCCATAGATATTCTGTTGATCTAACTCAAAGCACAAACCGTTGTACATGGTGATAGTTTTGCAGTCTTTAGGAATGCTTGGTCCACATAACTATAAAAAGAGCATCACATTTCACAAATAGGTTGATTTTTTTAATTATTCTTTAAACAAACAAGACTTTGCATCGTCTTGCTAGCAGACAGTTTACAACATCATTTTAGTTGCCATCTCTGCAGTTAATCAACTCACCAAAGTGTTTTGTGTTGCGGGGTCACTTGTCATTGCCAAACCAAGGGACATGGCCGGTGTCTTTTTCTCTGCAGAAATGTTTTGCATTTATTTGTTCAGTTATTGACTAAAACTATAAACAAAATGTAAAACTACAATGTTAAAAGTTAAGTAATCGTAATTGTGGCATTGACTGTAGACCTAGCATATAGACAAAAGCTAATTTAATCATTTTCCTTATCCCCTTGTTATAACTCCTGTGCTGCTGGCGTTAAAACACCTTTTGCTCACCTCTAGAACAAGTATTAACTTGTTTAAAATTTTGTCTTGGTGTATACATATATATGTATACAAGATATATTCTCTCTGTTGTGAATAGCAGTTTAACCTCTGGTGGGGTGCCAAAAGGTTTTAAGCATGCTGCTGTGAAACTCCAGCTGAAAAACAAAAACAGCCTTGGCACCTTGGTGGCATGGCTTAATTTGAACCGGATCCTGGCTGAACATGATCCGGGAACTCTTACTTTGACAGGGTGCGTTCCGGTAACTGTTTTCTTGGATCCGATAACTCTCAGGCTTGTTCATAATACAGTTATGAACAGATATGACTGCCTTGAATGAATAAAACTTATACTGGATATGTAAACGGAAAAAAATTACATAAACACTCATTTTAAACACAACAGCCACTTACGAGCATACAAGCTGCCCCTTCAAGTAGCATTTCCAACCATTTAAAAAAATCTCCGCCTCTAAAAGAGTGGTAGGGGTGAGCATCGAGCTAACCAGGCAATCGTATAGGGTGACTTCCATAGTCGTACGCAGGCATGAGCCCACAGGCAGCCACCTTGAACAGACGAAGGAGGCACAAGGAGGTTTCACATGTGGAGTTGGACAACAATGCGCAGGGACAGTGTTGGGCTCAGAACCGTCAAGTAAGGGGGAAGTGGGGTAGGATGCTTGACAGAAGTGGAGTGTTTACAATTGTAGGTAAACGTAAATGTTTAGCAACCCGTTAAAATACAACAAAATGCAGGAAATCGCATATACTTTATTCAAAATTATCTTCGGGAGAACCCCCAGACCCCACCCCTAGCCAGCCCACCCACTCTTTGCATTCTGGCATCAATCAGTTTACAAATTAAGCCCTGTTTGGCGGTGTCAAACTTTTAGGCCTGTCTCCAAACTCCTAATTTTTGTCTAAATTACTGTAAAAGAAAAAGGTTGTTCGCATTTAAAATGTTTGCTGGAAATACATTCAGTCTTGGAGGTTTTCCAGTCCAGCTTTTAAATCCATCACAGCACTTTGCATTGTTGAGGTGTTTAATGACCTCTCTGTAGCGATGGATTCCAGTGATTCTGTGCTTTTGTCCTGTTGGACGTTACATCTGCCTTTGACACCACAGATCATGAGATACTCATTTCTAGGCATGAGCAATGGATGGATATTATAGAATAAGCGCTTAAATAAATAGTTTAGGTCTCACCTAAAGGAGCTTTAAAAAATATGGAAAATATAATATTGTTATGAATTTATATCTTATTAAAGTCTTGCAACCTACTTTGATGAGTATGATTTTAGCTGAATATTTAGTGTTAAAAAATCTAAAAAAAAATTCACTTCAGTTATATAACGCATTCAAAATCCAGTAACAAACTGTGGACAATAAGCAAATACATAAATAGATAAACAAAAATGAAATCTTCATATGTCAAAACACTTTTCCTTTTAAAAAATGTTTGAACAACTTGTCAGGAAATTTACAAATCAAATGAATCCTACCTGGAAGAGGCAGAGGTTGGCATCCCTCAGTACTGCACTGAAATATTTCTCCTCTTTCATTGCTTGAAAATTGTTCAAGTGGAGCGCTGATGAGCAAACTGAGGAAACAAAACCAGACAAGCATTTGAGAGAGAGCACAGTCCTATATTGTCGATTAGAAAGCATGTTCATGAACTTATTGCAAGTTAGGTTAACAAGATTAAAAACAAAGAAACGCAAATAATTTTGTTGATTAACATTCTGTATATTAATGTTTTGACGCACTCTGTTGTTCTCTGCACCACCTGGTAGCCGAAACCTGCAGCAGAGTTACTCAAAGTCTTCCAAGCCACAGGATCAATGTTAAAACAAAGGCCAGCTTTAAACACTGAGGAATAAAAGAGAATATCCACATTACAAATTTTAAAGCAAAAATAGTAATAATATCTAAGGTATGAACAAAGAAATGTCAAACTAAGAATATATTAAACACCAACAGTAAAAAAAAAAACAATGCGCCAAACAACAGGAGCATGATATGATATATTATATATGAGATGATGGCAAGTTTATATGAAATCTAAATATGTACTATAATATTGTGTTTTCTGAATGAAAGTAGCATTAATTGAAGAAATGCATATCACCCGTCAATTTTTTCCAAAGTTTTAACCCTCTTGTCCATTGATCAAAAGGCCTTAGCTTTAAAACTGGAACATTTTGACTCAAGGGCAATCCGTTAGCACTGAGAGTTTGTGTTGGGAATGACTCTCAGCTACTAGCACACCAAATTTACTGGCAGTTGTAACCATATCTTGCTTGTGTTTGATAAGTTTGGTTAAGCAGGCAGCAATAATACAATATACAGAAGGTGTCATTTTTAGGTATTGCATGACAGTCTGCCACACTAGTTTTTTATTACCACTTTTAAAAAAACAAGCCACTATAAATATATATATATATATATATATATATATATATATATATATATGACTTTCTGTGTTGAAGTGTAATATTCCTTAGAAATTGTTGAAGAAAAACGATGTTTATAAAGCTTTCCCAAAATTGTCAGTTTTATCTCTTTAAAGCCTGACCCATCAAAAAATAGACAGACAATTCTATTTACTTTTCAAGCCGAGATGTTTATTAGGTCTATAAACAAAATCCACAAAAATAAATAAAATAGCTATATCATTTTCCATCCATCCATCTATTATCTTTTACCCACTTCTTCTATTTTGGGTCACGGGGGTCGCCGGTGCCCATGTCCAACTATCACTGTGCGAGAGGCAAGGGACACCCTGGACAGGTCTCCAGTCCATCACAGGGACACAAAGAGACAAACGAGACAAACAACCATTCACTTTCTCACTCACACCTAGAGACAATTTAGAGTTACCAATCAACCTAACATGCATGTTTTTTGGTCTGTGTGAGGAAACTGGAGTACCTGGAGAAAACCCACGCATGCACTGAGAGAACATGCAAACTCCACCCAGAAAGGCCCCTGGACCGGGATTTGAACCAGAGACCTGCTCGCTGAGAGGCAGCAGCTCTATCAGTTGTGCCGCCATATCATTTAGCTTAGGATAATTGTTTTGTATCATATCTGATATACAGGGCTGTTTGAGCAACATTTTGCTCACAACAAAAATAAATTTAGTTTTACAGTACATGTAAAAACTATAATTTATGTGAATATGTTATGACCTTATTCTAACACATGCTATCCATAGAGAAGTACAAAAAGCCTGTGGTCTGTGGGAAGCATTCACAGGAAGAGAGCATGTACTGTTCTGCATGTAAGGAACTGAAGAGCTCATAGTAATTTTGAATCTAAGATCTGATTTTAATTGTCTTATAGGTCTGGAGTCAAGTATGTAGTGCATTTCTAATATGAGTGCCACCGTGTTACTTTTTCTAAAGTGTCGATTTTAAATAATGCCAAGAGACTGATTAGATGTTCTTGTATTTAAACAGATGAATTCACAGAGGATAAGATGCACACAAATTCAAGTTGTTGTTGCTAATGCTTCAATACTTCATGCAAAATGCAGAAACACAAAATTGGAATTGCCCCCAAAAAGGGTGAAGGAAGTAGGGGGTAGTTAATGTACTACTCAATTGGCTCAAAAGTTTTTTAAATAAAATAATTTAAGACAAAGTAAAGAGATACAAGCTTTACTTACCTGACAAGAAAAGTGTCACAACAATTATCAAGTTCATTGTGTTCCTCCCATGAAAAGTAAAGGAAAATAAGAAATCCTCTCTGATTAAACTGATTTACACAGAAACAGTGTGAGACTCTTCATCCACATGAGAGTGTGAAGGAGGAGCTGTTGAAAGTGAAGCGCATACACCATGAGAGAGCAGCTCAGAGCTTACAGACGAAATGTAGGAGTTACACTTGGAGACGCTTTGAATCTCTGACATGAAACTTTTTTGTGGTTGTTCTGTAAAAAAAACAGAAGAGAATGAAGCACAAACAATTGTTGCAACAATGATTGTAGTCTTGAGTATTTAATTGCTCACAGCACGCCAACGTAGACATGAATCTGTCTTCCATATGTGCAGCTGCAGAAAAACATTGATTGTTACTCCTGTATTCTTCCATGACCTTTCTCTTTGAAGCAACTCATTTCAAGTGCAGCTTAATCTTAGTAATGCAAGACAGGAAACTCTAATTTTTGTATTACTTTTGTATTTATTATCATGTAAAGCCTTATGAGGAAATGCCACCATCAGCATTTCATGATAAGTAGGCCTCCTGGGGGAGAAAAGCTCTTCTGAAGTTTAAACTAGAACATTGTTTCTGGTTAAAGGAGTGAGGTAAAGATGCTTCATCAGCTTTTACATTACATGATGTACTAAGTCCCTCCGACTTTGGTCAAATTCAGTGTAACTGCTGAAATAACCAGATTATCCATTGTACATTTGATCATATTCCTCGTATATATGTGCAACAAAAAGAACAATGCTTTGTGTTTGCATGCTTGGAAACATAGGCATGACACAATAACATTATATTGATAAATGCTGTTACATCTGATTAAAAAAAAAAAAAAAAAGTAGGAAGTTCCAGACAGACAGAAATACTCATCAAGCCGTATTTTTTTTTCTCATGTAGAAAATTTGTGAAATCACACTTTAAAAAAAGTCTGTTCACCAAAATTGTAGACACTGTCACAAAATAGATTTACACACGTTTTCTCAAGATAGTTCAAACTGTGGTGGAGGTGTGGGGGAGGAAACTCAGAAAATTTCAAAAGTCGCCAGTTTCACTTTTCACAAAGGACGACTCAAAGTCAAAAGAAACATTTCTCCTTTTCTTATACTACCTTTGAATTGTCTCATCTCATGTGTTTCAGTGTGAGGATTCTATAATGTACAACTGTATAATGAGCTATACTGTGTTGATTATTTTAAATACTTCAAATGTTAAAGAAGTGCTCGAATGAGAAATGTTTCTGGTGTAACTGGTTAGGTAGATGTGTTGTGTAGTTTGGCATTTTCCTTAGACTGAATTTGCTGGATCGTTGTAGCATGAGACCAAACAAAAAAAAAAACCACAGCTGTACTTTCATCACGTCATGTGACCTAAAGATAAAACTCCATCCTGTGTGCCTCACATTGTAGAGACATCTCTGCATTTTGTCTCATTCAAGCCACAGCATCTGTTCAGGAAGCAAACCTCTTCTGATAAACTTCACTTTCTTTTGTCAGCAAAACCCAAGCTCCGGTGCTCCTGCCACCTCCTCATCTATTCAAACATGTAACTGGCCTGAGTGAGTGTAAAATAAACTGTTGGAAAATGTCCATCATGGCTATGTGTGTGCAACGTAGGCTTCATGCCAGACTTGCCGGTTAAACCTCTTCCTGCCAAGCAAGGACAACCAAGAAAGGTTAGGAGAAGGTCAAAGATCAAAGCGTGGTGTCTTCTATGTTCAGGTTGTCACATGCTCCACGAGCTCCTGTGTAAGTGTGTGTGTGTGTGTGTGTGTGTGGGGGGGGGGGGGTGCTATAAGATAAAACCCAAACCAAGGTCATCTTCCTACACATAGATTGTTTGCTACTTGATGCAGCAAATTGACTGCAGCTAAGCAATTACAGTGCATCGTAAAAATATCCTAAAACTAACATGATGCAGAAGTGTGACTAAAAGATCATGTTTTATTTAAAGGTGATGGAGAGAACACCATTGTGAGTTTGAAGCTTATTATCAAATCTTGTTTTGTATTCTGGATCATATCTGAAGCGTCTCATCATTGTATACTATTCTCTATACAGCAGTCCTGATTGTCCTTTTTCCTATGCAACCGGGCCCCATTTGTTGCATTCCCTGCCATTCACTGAAATGCTCTTTGCCCTTTCAGTGGCTGCTCACTAACATATTACTCCAGCCCAAGCCCTGCTGAATGTCACAAGCCGTCTCTGGTTGCGTCCTGATCTTTTTATAGCTGGGCAGCTGAAATGTGAGGGGTCACTATGGGAGGATAAATACAAGGGCCAGCACACAGGAGAGGTGTCGCAGCCGAAGATCGGATCTCCTACCTCCCTGTCTTGTCTCCGCTCTCCTCTCAGACTCAAAGGTAAAAAAAAAAAAAAAAAGCAGAAAACTGCTGTGCAATATATGCTACGCTTTAAATGGATTTGTGTGCTACTCTTTAAATATCTTGTTTATGTAAAAGCATGTAGAGCATGCAACCGCAGACACATAAATAAGGCAGAGGAAATGTTTTTATTTTTATAAACTCTGAAAACCACTTCTTGTTACTGACAAGCTGACACTTTATCAGATCACACGAAACCCACCATGCACGCCACGAAGGACTGACTGCATATTTCATTTCTTTGTTCCACTTAAACAAAACTTCAGAGTGGGTTTGTTTAATATCTCTGAAGTAATTTGCTTGAATGAAAAATGTCGTTCAGTTTTACATATTTTTGTGTTTAATACAAGATCCTGCCTGACCTATAGTATACCTGCCAGTTTACTAGTTTTTGTAACTGAGTGACCACATCTATATATTAAAAGACCCTGCCTAACCATTACCAGTTTACTAGCTGTTGTAACTGAGTTTTTGATCTCATCTACAGCTTATTAAAAGCTGTTGCAAAACAACTTGTTTCCATGATTAGTGTGGGCTGAGGGTGACTCAAAAGTCTGACAAAGTTCTAACTCCACATGGTCTATCAGAACTGTTGTATGGTGATCCTCCTGCAGAGTAACATGGTTACTGTGCAAGTGTTTTATTGCTCTCAGCTGAAATACTTTGTGCAATGCACCAGTGCATGGTTTAAATTTAGTGCAACCTATTCATAGGGCAAGCACAAAAGGAAAGAATGGAGTGGGCAATAAGGAAAGGAGCAGTGAGGGTCATGGGGAAAGTTTTGTGAGGTTAAATTTTTAGTTTTTTACTGGGTTTTATTAATAATGTATTTATTTTATAATATATGATATTATGTATAATAACAAAATGGAATAGTTCAGCCACATGACTGCCCTCATTGCCATCATATACTGTATATTGAAGGCAGGGCAGCAGACACAGGTGGCAGAGAAAGTCCCTTGAGCCACAGCATGTTTCAGTATATATGCTTTATGAACCTCAGCTGCTGTTACAACTGCATTAAATACAATCACACAGCTAGAGCTTGGGGTAGTCTCAGTTCTCAACAGAGCTTAAGCAGAAAGGAAAACTATTTGGCAAAAAAAAAAAATCACCACTTCCTTTCTACAGTCTTGCCCTCCTTTCATCTAACATTTTCCCACGTATATACTGAAGGAAACCAAAACCTCAAGAGCTAAACGTACAACTTTGCAGTTTCGTTGAACTTTTCCCCCTGTCAAACTGGGGCACTGAGTCTGTCTCCGTCACAGGATGAATTTGTCTCTTCTTCTTCTATACAGAGTCAAGATGCCTCACGCATACCCCTTCCTATCTCCTGATCAGAAGAAGGAGCTCAGTGACATTGCACACAAGATTGTTGCTACCGGCAAGGGAATCCTTGCTGCAGATGAGTCCACTGGTAAGTAGGTCATTTAGGATAGTCAACGCTAATCAGTGTAATAAGAATCACATGTTAAACTTTGAATAACAAAACCAAGAAGACATCTATTTAAGGCAAAAGCAATTTAATAATTGTTACTCCTGAACAATTTGGTTGATGCCCCAGTCTCTTTCCTGCATTACCATGAAAATAAATAATAGCAATGGCATTGAAACAGACCTCACCAAACATTGTCCATCTGTCCTGAACTCTACTTTTGACCAATCATCTGACCAATAAAGACACTGTAGGCCTTTCAGTATGGGCACATAAGAAGCACAAGACCTAAGATGAAGCTTTTTAGCTTAAAGGAGACATAAGGTGCATCAAAAATAGCATTTTGGCATAAATTTACCTAATATCACAATAAAACCAGGAACCTTTGAATAAAAACTAGCAAAACTGTATTTTCTGCAAAAATGCAGCATAAATGCTGAGTGCCGAATGATTTTGCTGAAATTTGCTAAAATAAAAATAAAAAATTGAAGCTGGCTTTTTAGCGCTAAAAGAAGCTGGTTAAAAACTAAAATAATCAAAATGCCAGCTAAAACCTAACAATATTTCAACAGTAGCTAAAAACCAAGAGTCGCAAAAGACTAGCTAAAATTAGCAAAAGCTTAGCTAGAAGCTGGCAATAACAGAGCACTATCTAAAAGAATAAAACAATTATAAAAGAAGGCTAAAGTAGATCAAATATGCTGAAGCAGATTTCAAAGAGAACAATGTAGTAATTAGTAATTAAAGATCGCAGTGTTTTTCTATGGGAAATGTAGTTGTAAATAAAGTTGGATATTTTGAATGGTACAATGGTGACTCTGGAACAAGCCAAAGATGATGGATGATGTATGGATGTATGGATGGATGTATAGATGGATGGATGGATGGATGGATGGATGGATGGATGGATGGATGGATGGATGGATGGATGGATGGATGGATGGATGGATGGATAAAAGTGACATGAAACATTATATATATTATAATTAAGCTGACGCTGTGGACACTTTAAATTAGATTTGTTTTTTGTTTTTTTCAGAAAATACATTACATTGTTTCAGGATGTCTGATTATTTTTATTAATCCACAGGAAGTGTGGCCAAGCGCTTCCAGAGCATCAATGCTGAGAACACCGAGGAGAACAGGAGGCTGTACCGCCAGCTCCTCTTCACTGCTGA